CAGGTTGTGTGTGCTTCGCCTGTGCTTGAAGAAATAGTTTTTTGAACTCCTCCTCTTTTAGACTGGGTCCCACAGGGAGTGAATAATGTTTTTTTCCAACATCGGGGTAATTTTGCTGACAGTAATCCTTGGTTGCTTTTTTGAAGGGTTCCAATGTGCCAGCCCCTGTTCGTACCTAATCAAAATGTATTAATTATTAAACTTCATTGTTATTATTACTGTAATTAGCGTAATAATCGTAATTAGCAGTTACTGTTGTATGTGAGGACAGTAGTACTAGGCAGTTCTGTTACCAGTATTCGCGCATTTTTCCGTTTCCGACATTTTCTCTCTCAGGTAAGTGATTATTGCACAAGACAATCCGGCAACATTGGCCTAGCACTTCATGTGTCCTTTTACCTCTTTCAAACAACCAAAACACTAAACGTCTTTGGACCCTTGTTGATCTTTCAAATTTCTAGGTAATCTATGAACGGGATCCTATTAGGCGTTCTCACATGCCAGGGAAAAGAGTGCAATAATAATCCACATCACACTAACACGTGATACTCCATATGCCAATAATTTTTCCTTAAATATTATTATTCAACAAATCTACCGTTAAAAAAATTCACGTGGACTCGATGCGTGATTGGTTAACAGTCATGAATGTCGGTAGGCCTGCACAATGACACTATCAAGTACCAGGCAGATTGCAAGGCCTCTCTCTCATGCAGACTATTTAAAACAAATCCGGGATTTTTATGACTCTTAATGATTGATCTGAGGGACACCGGATAGGTGGTATGAAAGCCTACTCAGCAGGGGTTTTCGCTTGATTTGGGAGGAAGTAACTCTTTCCAGACAAAAATGTCGGCTGGGTAAAGGTTGAGTATGATGTGGTCGCCATGATGATAACTTATATACGCAAGGCCGAAACGTGATACTTTTCCATTGGTCCATCTGTCGAAACCACTCAATTGTTGTTGCCTTGAAAGTAAATTTAGTGTGCTGTTTTCCGAAGAGTCCTCAAACATCAATTTATTACCTATCTTGGGAATATCACCCATAACTGGTATTTGATGACTTGCATAGACTTCCCTTATAGCAAATAATTGTTGAGGATAAGAACTAAACGGTTATTTTCCTGCAACTTTCCTTCCTATCCACCGCGATAGTTGCGTGCTGTTCATCTTTCAGTTCATTTGCTTCTCTCATGGGAAAATGTATCCCTAGCAACTTAAATATTCCTTGCTTCTTCTGGCAATTTTTCATATAGGACCTAACTAAAATGAAATTGACAACAAATTCACCCTCTCTTACAGATGTTCATATCCTGTCCTTCGCTGAGGTCCGTTATTAGACGATGCCCTTGACATACGATGACTATTCAAAAAGTTTCGAGACTGCTGCTCTAGGGGAAAAATATTTTATTTATATGGGTTTCGGCTTAATCTCCTTCGAAGTACGCTCCTCCTGCAGCCACACACTTCTCCCAACGTTTCTGTCATTGTCGGAAGCACCTCTGATAAGCAATTTGTCGAATCGCTGAAAGCTGCTCAGTCGCATTTTGCTTCATGGTTTCCACATCATAAAATCTTGTTTTCAAGGCTTTCTTCAGTTGAGGGAAGAGAAAAAAACACATGGGACAATTTCAAGTGAATACGGAGGCAGCTGCGCTTGTGGCATATAGTGTTTGGCTAATAATTGTTTCACAAGATGTTCTGAGTGGGCAGGCGCGTTGTAGTGTTGAAGCATCCGAGATTCGGACAACCGCTCCACGACAACGCGCCTGCCCACTCAGAACATCTTGTGAAGCAATTATTAGCCAAGCACCATATGCCACAAGTGCAGCTGCCTCCGTATTCACTTGAAATTGTCCCATGTGTTTTTTTTCTCTTCCCTCAACTGAAGAAAGCCTTGAAAACAAGATTTTATGATGTGGAAACCATGAAGCAAAATGCGACTGAGCAGCTTTCAGCGATTCGACAAATTGCTTATCAGAGGTGCTTCCAACAATGACAGAAACGTTGGGAGAAGTGTGTGGCTGCAGGAGGAGCGTACTTCGAAGGAGATTAAGCCGAAACCCATATAAATAAAATATTTTTCCCCTAGAGCAACAGTCTCGAAACTTTTTCAACAGACCTCGTATATAGCCGGGAGAAATACTTTGTGTCAAGGGAATTACATTGAGAAATTTCAGGCACGTCAGGAAATTGACTTGTAAGATCAGACTGGAAGGAATTCCCTCTTACTTTATATGGGTTTATCTTGTTCAAGATTTCATTATGGAATCAATTCCCTTGAGTGAATCAATTCAATGAATGTTGTACTGACCTGGAGGTGGTCTCGGATATCGACTTCTTTGCTGCTCCTGAACCTTGCGGGAGAAGCAACATTGCAAAGACTGGCACAGAAGTCGCAAGCCTCCATATCCTGTATTAATAATAAAGTCAGTTCATCCGTTTACATAACAGAGGTAATTTTCCAAGAGATCACATCCGCGACCATGAAGGTCTGCAGGAAAGTCCATGTCTTTTCATCGATTGCTATAATGAAGAGAATCGCTGCTTGCCATCAGTGTCCTTTGGAAATACTATTGAACCACTAGAAGCTAGTACTTAAAGTACTTGTTTTATATGAAAAAATACGTCATACTTGGATGAATCAAACTTCCCTGAAAATCTGTAACTCAAAATATTGAAATATAAGCACTAAAATCGAAAAAGTTCAAAAGTCTGCCTCATCGTTCGATAATATGTTATGGAATCGACAAGGAGTCATTATTTTGGATTATCTGGAGTCTGTATTCATGTCGTCAAATAAATCCTCCTGGAATGCTCTTTCATATGACGTATGTGACATCTTTTTCAAGACTATCACATTGGTGGGGGCCGTGTCAACAGACCTATGACGTCAAACTTCACTAAAATTACAAGAAATCGGATATTCGGCTCTCATGTTCGACATGTGGGGATGACGAGAGCAAAATAATTCTGATATCATGAAACTGCCAGAAGTGGACTCCTAGCACTGAATTTTGGTTTTGTGATGTTGACTCCTGCAAAAGTTGATTGGGTGGTGAAATTCTAAGAAATTAGTACACTTGAAAGCATATAATAAAGGTTTATTAAAACCCTTATTTTCATAGCAATAATTGAATTCTACACCTTCAGATCTTTCATATGAATCATTACACGCATTTCTCGCAGGCGTAGTTTGAGTTATGGAATTCGCCCGAGGTGTCACCCACGTCTGTAAACCAATACTTCCGAAAACCGTAGCTTATTCATGAACGGGAATAAAAATAATATATTTCGGATTTTAGAGTTTCATGTTAGACCTATTGACACTAAATATTTTCAAAATTTCCTAAGATGGTCTAGGGTCATCCCACGATTTGTTGGTATGGAAGGACCTATGTCGGAATTTCCCTGAAATCTGCATTGTAGCATTTTTCCTGTTCCCTCCAGTTTTGTCGAATGATGTATATGTATGAGTACCACAGACCCACGCGTTAGTCCCTGGGTAGGTCTGGGCTAACAACATCAGCCTCTCTAAAATGTGCTTCTAGAGCACGTACCTCCAAAGTCGGAGTATTCCTCGAGTCAACAACCTAAAAGCTTTTTCCGTTCCTGTTTCTTCGAAGAACGTGTTTGCGTATGAGAGTGCCGTAGGCCTAAGCATCCATCCTTGGGTTTGGGCTAGGCTTACAAAATCATACCCACCTCCACATGTGTCCCGAGGGCATGTTCCATTCAAAATTGGAATTTTCTATAGTCAACAACCTAACAGTCATTCATGGTTGTTCATGCTTCACATGGTTATGATGAGCGTTAGTCAGTCAATCACTCAGTTGGGATCGCATACATACAGGGTGGGCCGAATAAAAGGTTACGCTCAAAGTTCCATGTTAAAAATAAAAACAACAATATATTGAAACAACAATTCATTGAAATAACATATTTCCAAGTATATTTTCCCTTACGTTACTATCACATTCCAAATATAAACTTAAGTAAATGATTATATTTATAACGTAAGTTGCTGTTAAGTGTAACCTTACTTTTGGCCCACCCTGTATATATATCTTTTCCTTTATATACTTGAAATGTTCATAACATAATTCAAATGTTTACCTTCTCGGGACTAATACAGGGACGATGGGAATAGTCACCCGACGCTGAATCTGGGCATTCCTCGAACTTGACGCTGTGAAAAGATTATAAGTGCATCACAGCAAGATTGGAACTTCAGAAGTCGTCTCTACGGATGTAACAAGAGAGTGCGTTCGACAAACATAGATTTCACTATAAAAACTACAGACGATTTAAGTCGAAATTGCAAATTTGTAAAACAAGAATTGTCTGCATCGGAGTTCCAGTTTGAGAAACATCGCCTAAGAATTTATTTGGGAAAATAGACGGCAAATTTGTCATTTTAAGGATAGTTTATCGGGTGAAGGCGTCGAAAGCTTCAACTGGAGCTATGTAACAGGGGAACATTTCCCTTTATATTTACTTGGTGTTTGGGTAAGATTTCAGTATCATAGTTGAGTTTAAAAATTTTGAATTTAGACTATTGGTATTCTCAGATATCCCCATGTGTCGAGAGAAAGAGCAAGTATCTCATTTCGATGAAGTGCGTTCCTCTTTCTGGGGCATCGATAAAACAGTTTACTAATTTGACTTATTTTCTATTACACGAAGAAAACTATGTTCGAAAATTTGGAATTTTCACCTTTTTGTCTTTCTTCATCGAGTTTAAGTAAATATGCCATGAAGCACTTACAGTAGTATGAGGAATGTCATTAGGAAGGTGTGCTTCAGACATTTTTTCGACCATGTATGGTTAGTTGTGGGAGCAAGAAAAAAGTGTTTCCTTCATGAAAGTTACACTTTTGAAAAACTCCCATTTTCTTAAGTAGAGCAATATAGTCATACTAGCCCGAAGGGCAAACAAACCCGCTATTGTCGCGCCATCGGGCCCCTTGGAATGTGTACCGAGAGGGAACAAAATAATATATTTTTATTATAGTTTATTGTGTGCCTAACTTCAAATATTGTCATAATCTGCCCTGAGGGATCATATTTGAAAAGTACGACATGTTCTAAGCAATCGAACAGGTATTTCTCCTCCAAGTTTTAACTTTCTTTAGTTTTCTCCTTAGTCGAATCAAAAAAGTTTCCTTAAAAACCACTTCTTTCTATTTAAAAAATGTGCCTTCAAGGGATTTAGATAAAATTCACCATTTTTAATGAAGTCAATACTCGCAGAATTACGTGCATACCAAGTTTCAGCCTTTTCGTATGCTCTCTTTGCTGTTGCAAAAATATGTTTTGAAAAGCTGACACAGCCAAATGCTGTGCCCTGGGAGTATGCACCAAGAGACTTAAATTTTTTCTGAAATCACCATCACCTTAGTCATTGCTGTGCCAAGTTTCACATTTCCATCTCTATACACTTCCGTGGACAAAAAAAAGTTATTTTTAAAACGTCACCCCCTAAAATTATGCCCCAGGGCATATATCCAAAACTAGGCATTTTTCCTAAACTCAGAGTCTGTGTACGGCCATGTCACGTTCCAGCTTACCCTGTTTATCTGTTAGAATGAAGCAAAAAATATTGGAAAATATTTCCCCATAAATTTGTGCACCCAGGGCATTCATCTCCATTCTGAATTTTTTGGGGGAATGATTTTTTTCAATTGGTCATGACAGCCATTCCATGGCACCCATGGACTCAAAACCATGCATCTTTGGAAAGGGCTTGGATTGAGCTTTAATTTGCCTTTTTTTGAACCTGCTAGCTTCAATAGTTCCTGGTTTAGGCCAGTTTAAAAAGTGGACAGGATTTTTTTTGCGCCACCCTGTATATTGGGTCTAAACAAAAGTTATGTCGGTTTTTCGAGGGTCGATTATTTATGTTTCCCATATGCGACCTAAACTCCACACACTTGTAAAAACTAGTTGTATGTTTGGTTATATATTTGGTTGTATAATTGAAAAAATCTGCCACTAAAATGGGTGCCCCCAGGGCATGTACCCCCAAAGTCGAATTTTTTCTGAACTCTGCATCCCAAAAGGTATAAATGTTCCAAGATTCAGATNAAAGAAAAAAAAATCGTTAAAACCCATTAGGGCACTTTTTTCAGTCCCATTTTCTGATTTTTTTTTAATCCAACGAAACCGAGACAGAAAATTTAAGCTTCCCTCAGAAGTACCTGTTTATTGGCTGGGTAGAGGAAAAATCCTAATTTTGAAATATGCCTCATTAGCGTAGAATATTGGAGGGAAGTATTTCAAAAGGTATTCTCCATCCTTACAAAAAGGGACACAAGAAAAGGTTTCAAGTTTGACACACAGAATCACAGAGGTAATGATTTTGATAAAAAATCAAGACTTTCGACCCCATATGTCACGCATTTCAATGGGGACGTGCTTTAAATACGTGTTTCCCATTTCGGAAAAATGAATGAATTAATGACTATCCAAGGTAATAGAGCGCCGAAGGCGCGACAATAGCGAGTTTGTTTGCCCGAAGGGCAAACAAACTCGCTAGTAAGTAATATATATCGACGATCGTGACTGACTGACTGACGCTAATTCTAACCATGTTCCAGAAAGGTTAGAAATCTGAAACTAGGTACACATGTACCTTTTGGGGTGCAGAGTTCAGAAAAAATCTGACATTGGAGGTACATGCCCTGGGAGTACACATTTTGGGAGGAGAAGTTTTTTAAAAATATATATCGTGACGGATAAGGATGTCATAGAGAGATGCGAATGCATGTCTCCATTTCGGTGGTGTAGTGGTAGGACATCTGACCGGTAAGCGTGAGGCCCGGGTTCAATTGAGCTGGTGTGGAAAGATGAAACTTGGTACAGAACTACCTATTGGGATGCTGCGTGCAGAAAAATTCAGACTTTGGAAGTAAATGCCCAGAGGGCAGAAATTTCAAAGGGAGATATTTTCAAATAATTTGTATGCATCAGTTTAACTGATGAACATGGAAAGCTGAAACATTGCATGAATGTGACTACTGAGACAAGGAGTTAAAGCAAAATGTTAAGTCTCGATACATCTCCTGGGGAATGTTTTCGAGGGGCTATGTCTAAAAAAAAAATTGTTGTGGCGAATTGGACAGAAATAGAAAGGTGAAACTTGGCACACGTATGAGTGACATGATATTATTATTGAGTTGGGGGAGTATTTAGATTTCATGGTGCATCCCCTCCTGGCATAGCTTATGGGTGCGTAGGCTTTTCCAAACATGTTTTTCCACCAGGGAATCGGGCAAGCTTATAATATTGAAACTTTGTGAGCGTGTAGTTCTCTGAGGATTGATTTCGGTAAAAAAAAGGGGAACTTCTCGGTTAAAACGCCTGAGCGCACATATACTGTATTGCAAAAGGCGTATTTTCTCGATCCAGCAAAACAGAGGGAGCTAGAAAGTTTAAACTTGCCAAAGAAGATCTTGATGGATAGTTGAGTAAATAAAAATTCTACTTTTATTATATGAGGGTCAGTCAACTGAAAACAGGACATGATTTTCTTTTCTCCAAAACATCTTCGCAACCGTATTTTTTCATGTGCCGTTTTCTTTTTCGGCATGTTCCCTAAGGGCATGCGCAGCTTTTTTTCTCTGCACTTTTTTACAGCATGAGATTCTTTCAAAGATGGCCTCCGAGGTATTGGTTTGCACCATGGAAGAGATATGTTCTGTGATACCATTGAGTATCAGATACCATGTTACCATTGATACCTCTTCAGGTATCAATGCTTCTTACCTTTAATTGCAGTTTCCTCACGAACTGTTCGTTAAATGGTTTGCTATATGCTTATTAATGGAATATTAAATCAAGGTCACCAATTAAGACAGTTTCTGTCTTGTTTCATTTTACGCCTCAATTCGTGTCTCGCTCCCAGATAAATGAATCAATCCGCCCCATGTTCCATGCGCCACATGGAATTCATACATTTCTTGCCAATTTGTTAGACTTACGAACATTTAGGAGACATCATTCGCTATACTTCATCACAATAAACAGGAAGCCTTTCCGCCCTTAATTCATCTCGCGAAATGCATAACTTTCCCAAGAAGGTTGGTCGACGAGTAAAGCAGCCATTACATGCAATGCTTGTCGAATTAATGTTCCTGGTCAGCCAATAAATCGGACTTCCAATGCTGTCAAGTCGAAGGTCGGGCGTTCAGCTAAGTGTTCACTGTTATGACTATTGCAGGATCAAAAACTTCTGGTGAGGTTGTCACTGCTGCAACGATGTACTGAAAGCTGACAACAGCCTGGAAGACCAATGTCAAGTGCCAATTGTTGAAAAACGTGTTTCACCATGTTGGTTTCAAGACTGCACCCAAGGTAAAGAATTGTTTGCTTCCACGAAGACACATGAAGGCTTGGCTTGGTATAGTTCTCAATTAGAAGAATTTGATGGTAGACCACTGAGAAAGCGTCATTTGGTTAGACGAGAGCAAGATGACCCGATTTGGACGGAAATGGAGCCGGACACTACCAGAAGTATCAATACAAACTCATCATCAACCATTGTGATGAATTTCTGAAAGTTTAGGGGTTACAAGACTACTAAATGAAGTCAGGAATCTGTGTGGAGTGGATGATGGACTCACCGATTGATTTTCCTGTCACTTTCCTGGAAGTAACAGAACCATCAACTATTGCCAGCTCGATGAGGATCAAATCATCTTCCAAAAGGACGATAACATAAGGCACCCTGTCAAAAGCATTGTAATTGGCTCAGAAATGAATTATAAGAAACCCTAAATTGTTGCTGAATTCATTTGGACACAGGTCCAAGCCAATAATAGTGTCATTCACTTATCAGATTGTGTCAACACGATTGAAGTCACTCCTTGGAGAGTTGCTGCAACGCTAAACGGTAACAAAAAGTAAAGTGGAATATATTAGTGATAATGGTTAGAAGCTAAAAGGATAGAAATTGTCCTAATGGGTGACTTTCATTCAGTCTTCTATTGCTCAGGACACTCGTATAACGAATCAATCAACTTTCAGCTTGTCTAGTAAAAGATCAGAAGCATTGCTACCTAAAAAATTGCTACTTGTTTCGAATACTCTATCTACTTGGAAAACTATGGAAGCCCAAAGTCTAAAGTAGGAAACACTAGGACAGTTTATGGTGTCAGTGTATTTCAGAAGACCCTTTCAGTCCCTTCCCTGATTAAAACCTACTATCATATCCTATCAGATCCTGAATGGATCAGACAATAGGTATTGTTTGAAGGTGCTCTCAAATCCTACCAGAAAACCCAGGATTTCTACATGTAGGATCATATGAAGTTCGTTTTATACCATGGAGAATCTCGAGAACTACAAGCTTGAGAGAATATTTTAGAACTTCACCTGCAGTGCTCACCGATGGGCACGAAAAGAGAATAATCAAATGGGCGCTGCGATTGGAGAAAATGTGTCAACCTCCTCGAGTTAAAGTTGGTATGAAAATAACTGCATTAGTCATTCGCATTTGCTTTCAAGTCCCTTGTCTAATTGAAATAATTTTATCGTGTCGTGTCCTGTCATGTATAAAAGGGTTTAAATGGAAAAATATTTCAATTTCCATTAAATGTTCCATATATGCTTGTGTTATCTCAATGAATACCAAGAAGAAAATTTCTTGTTTTTGTTATCCTTTGCATTGTTTAAGTTTTCCAATTGTAGCACAATAACTGCTCGGCATCACGTACAATAGTCTTGTCTAGCTTGTCTTACAATAAGCAATTATTTTAAGAGACAATTTTCGAAAACTTTGTTCTCATAGCTCGTACAAATGACGTACTGGTTGGTTCTGCTCGCGAAATTGAAACGTGTACTTGATGCCTTGATGATTGACCAATGAATAAGGGAGATACAGCGAACAATTTCCTGATAATTGAGATGACTTTTCTAAACAAAATATCCATATATATGACGCTACCTCGTGTCTGTCTCCATAAAGAGGAAAATTAGCCATACCATCATTGGAAGGTTGCACAGATTCTATCATCTTTTTTTTTCAACTCACGATGCAGTTGTCCCACTTGCTACTTCCTCATGTGATAAAATCGGTGGTTCCTCATTCTCCTCTGGAAGCTCGAGAGTTTTTGGAGGTTCCTTCACAACTGTCTGTGTTTCACTTGCATTCCGTCCTTTCGCAGGTTCTGGAACCTGCGCTTTATGGGTCTTCCTTCTCCCTGGCAAGACAGTAAAAGCCTTCACTCAAAGTTCAGGGCCAGTAAAATCACCAAGTGAGACAGACACTCGTATCATGCCGGCAATTAGTATGCATTTATGAGGCTGAGTTCAATGCTCCTCCAATAACGATCTCACACAAAACTTTTGATGTGTCGAAGTGAAACATTTTGTACTCGTCTGGTCATTTGGACAAACTTTTCCTGTTTTTTTTTAGGACGAAAATGCGTTTTCACATATTTCGGACTCCTGAACGAGCTTCATGGAGGCCTAAGGAGCTTTTCAGGGCCAGAAGTATGTCGACATTCTGAGGAAGGGATGGCGGGGTGTCAATTTAACAAAATTTCAGCCAAAGAAGTTCCAAGGGTGGAAAAAAAGCCCTCAAAGAAAATGTATTCATGCGAACTCCTAAGCCTTTCCCTCCTCTTTTCGACTTTCCCTTTTTTAATTCAACGGTATTACGTAAAAACTCCCAACAAAATTTGTTCATGTTTTGTAGCGAAGGCAGAGCGTATACATTGCATTTCTAAGTACTATATATATATACAGGGCGTTTCATTTAAATTGTACATCTTTGAACTCTCATATCTCTGAGAGGACGCAACCGTTCTTTACGAAATTTTACCACAATATAGAGCAAATTAGACAAATTAGATCAATAGACCTTTGCCG